CATAACAAGTGGCGACGAGGGTAAAACAAACATAACTTACACCTTACAATAGTGCAAAATTGTTTGGAGGTAAGTGACAATAATTGACAATTATCAAAATGACCTCAGCGGCAATTAGCCTGCCTTCCTTCGATCGTTTCGTCGTACACGGTGGTGAAGGTACCACAGGCACGAGGTGGCAGAAATGGCTCTCCCGGTTCAAGTTATTGCTGACAGCAATTGGCGTCAGCGACGCCGCGAGAAAGAAAGCGTTACTACTGCATTACGCTGGTGAAGAAGTTTTCGATATATACGAAACATTCTCAGCTGCACAAAAAGGATCTGACACTGAAGCAGGATACAACATACTCTGCCAGTCCCTCACAACGCATTTTGCCCCTCAGAAAAATATTGATTATGAAACATTCAAGTTCCGACAGGCGAGACAAGAAGCTGGCGAGAACATAGATTCTTTCTGCACCAGACTAAGAAAGCTAGCCGCCACATGCGATTTTCAAGACTCAGACAGAGAACTAAAATCTCAAATATTACAGGGCTGTACATCGCAACGCCTGCGCAGACGTGCTCTGCGAGATGACCTCGATTTACAAAACCTGCTCAAAGCAGCAAGGGCTCTCGAGATATCAGATGAACAAGCACAGGAAATTGAAGCGGATAGAAAGCCTGCCTACTACTGTCTATAATATCAGCAAGCAGCACGCAGCAAAAGGGAAAGCTTCAAGATTCCCATCCGCCACACATCGCCTGTACCCCCCATCTCAGCCATCACATCGTCGCTATCAACAAACGCATGAGAACAGACCTTGTGGATGGTGCGGAGGATTACGACATCCTCGTGATAGATGTCCAGCAAAGGACAAGACCTGCAAGACGTGTTCTAAACTTGGTCATTTCTCTAAAGTTTGTAGATCAGGTAACAAACCTTCTACACACCGTCGACACAGCACAGCACATGTGAAACATGTCACCAGCAACCTAAATGAAAGCAGTGACACCTCAGAGGAAGACTACGTTTTCGGTGTCAAAACCAACCAGAAGACTCCCCAAGTGAACTTAGATCTCTCAGGAGAGAGCATCCCTTTTCTAATTGACACTGGAGCATCTGTAAACATTCTAAATGAGCAATCCTACAAGAGCCTTAGCCATACACACAAGCTGACCCCCTCATCTACACGTCTCTTTGCATACGGCAGTAACAAACCACTGCAAGTCATTGGACAATTCGAGTCCACCTTAAAATACAAGAAACACCCCGTGCAAGCAACCTTCCATGTGGTTCGTTCACAAAAATCAACGAAATGTGGCAATCTTTTAAGTGCAAAAACAGCAGAAGACATGGAACTTGTAAATTTCGCATTCAGTGCGACAACCACACCTACTCATTCTTTAACAAACAGTCTCTGCAGTGAATCCCCAGAGCTATTTAAAGGTCTCGGCAAATTAAAGGGCATCAAGGTCACACTGCATCAGGACCCGTCAGTCCAACCTGTCGCCCAACCACATCGCCGAATACCCTTTCACCTCAGAAAGAGAGTGGAGGAAGAGATCCAACGCCTAGAGCAGCTCGACATTATCGAGAAAGTGGATGGTCCGACACCATGGATTTCTCCCATTGTCGTGGTGCCCAAACCCAAAAAACCTGGTGAAATTCGACTCTGTGTGGACATGCGTGCTCCCAACAAGGCAATCAAGAGAACACGCCATATCATGCCCACACTAGATGACATTCTGATGCGTTTAAATCAAGCCAAATGGTTCACCAAGCTTGACCTCAACCAAGGCTATCATCAACTGGAGCTTGATCAAGAATCAAGAAACATAACTACATTTTCAACGCATATTGGCCTTCGTCGATACAAGCGACTGAATTTCGGTGTCACAAGCGCTGCAGAAATATTTCAGAACCACATTTCAGAAGTTCTCTCCGACATCAACAACTGCCTCAACACCAGTGACGACATCCTGGTCTACGGTAAAACGCAACAAGAACACGACGACTCTTTGAAGAAAGTCTTTGAGCGCCTGAAGGAGAAAAACCTCACACTGAACAAACAAAAATGCGAGTTCAATAAAAACTCCATTGAATTTTATGGATTTATCTTTGGAGGAGACGGCGTCTCTCCAGATCCCAAGAAAATCAAAGCAGTCCACGAAATGCCGGCACCAACGAATCAAAAGGAAGTTCGCAGCTTCCTAGGCATGACTAACTACGTCTCTCGGTTCATCAAGGACTATGCTGACCTCACAAAACCACTCAGAGACCTAACACGCAAAAATACACCCTGGTCGTGGTCCGAAGAACACCAGAAATCGTTCAACACACTCAAAGACATGATCACCTGTGACAAAGTCATGACCTACTTTGACCCCAATCTCCTCACTGAGATCACCGTTGATGCAAGTCCATTTGGACTTGGCTGCATTCTCTCACAGCGTGACAACAACAACGTTCACATAGTGGCATACGCAAGTCGTGCTTTGACTGATGTCGAGTCACGATACTCTCAAACCGAGCGAGAAGCTCTTGCCGTCGTCTGGGCGTGTGAACATTTCAACCTGTACTTACTTGGTCAACACTTCACAGTAATCTCTGACCACAAACCCCTTGAAGGAATCTTCAACAGCACAACATCCAGAACCTCAGCAAGAATTGAACGATGGAATCTCAGACTCCAACCTTACGACTTCACCCTACGCTACCAGCCAGGAGCGAATAATCCAGCTGACTTCCTCAGCAGACACCCTCATGAGAAAAACAACGTGACCTCCAGTCATATGGCTAAAATCGCAGACGACTACGTCAACTTCATGGCCGGTCATTCAGTCCCTAAAGCCATGACTCTGGAAGAAATTGCCAGCGCATCAGAAAGCGACCCAACACTCCAAGCAGTCATCAAATCTGTTCAAACAGATCATTGGCACACGCCGCCTGAAATCACTGTAGATGCTGCCACTTACCAAGTCTTCAAAACTGTTCGTGAAGAACTCTCTGTTCACAAAGACGGAACAATTTTACTGCGTGGCACACAAATCGTTATCCCTAGATCATTGCAACAGCATGTCATCAACATTGCTCATGAAGGACATCAAGGCATCGTTAAGACTAAACAACTCCTGCGTGAAAAGGTTTGGTTTCCCCACATTGATCGTCGAGTGGAGAACACTGTCAAATCATGTCTAGCATGCCTGTCAACAATTCCAGAACACCATTCTGAACCACAAAGAATGACTCCTTTGCCAACGAAACTTTGGTCTGAAGTTAGTATCGACTTCTGTGGACCATTCCCTTCTAGTGACTATCTACTAGTTGTCATAGATGACTACTCACGTTTCCCAGAAGTAGAAATCCTGTCATCTACCAGTGCAAGAGCCACAATCCCCAAACTTGACTCCATCTTCGCTCGTCATGGTGTCCCACACACCGTCAAGTCTGACAATGGTCCACCCTTCTCCAGCTACGAATTCAAACAGTTTGCTTCGCAGCTAGGATGTAAACACCGCAGAATAACTCCTCTCTGGCCCCAAGCCAATGGTGGTGTTGAAAGATTCATGCGAATGCTCAAGAAAACAGTGCAGTCTGCACACATTGAAGGCAAGCCTTGGAAACAAGAACTATATCACTTTTTGAGGAATTACCGAGCTACCCCCCACATCAGCACTGGTGTAAGCCCAGCTGAAGCTCTGTTCAAACGCAACATCAGAGTGAAACTACCTCAGATAGATTCACTCATGAAACCACCAACGACTGACAATGACATTCGTCAACATGACACCAACAAAAAGGAGGCAGCAAAACGGTACGCTGACGATCGTCGACATGCCCGAAATTCCGACATACAAGTAGGAGACACTGTCCTCGCTCGTCAACCCTACAAAAACAAACTGTCATCGTTCTATGACCATGATCCGTACCAAGTAACCTCAAAGAAAGGTCCAATGGTCACCGCCAGTCGCAATGGCAAAAACATGACAAGAAACACTTCATTCTTCAAAAGAGTGCCTGATACTCTGAAATCGTCCAACCCTACAAACTCAACAGAGGAAGAAGAGGAGGATGAGGACAATGAAGCTTCGAATGAAACAGCAGACAATCAAAACCCAACTACTACCAATGAACCAATCGCGACTGAACGTCCACAACGTCACCGTAAGCGTCCTGGATACCTAAAAGACTATGTGACTAACTCAAATGAACATTCGTCAAGCTGAAATTGAAACATGAACATTGTAATCGTGTTGAACAAATTTTATACTCATTAACTCAGTGTATTCTGTTTTGTCTCGTGTCCAGTGTACTCTGATTCTTCGCACAGTTTCGTATCTGTAGTGTAAGAAGAGAAATCTTGGTGCATATTATGTATCCGTTCCACGTTCACTCTATTAAGTTATTCATTTCTAATTTCAGACTAGCTGTCTAGATGTTTTGTTGTCAATCTCATCGTAAGTAAAATAATATAGAACTATACACCTAAATTAGCATAAGATCAAGAGCTCGCTGAAATTCGTTATCGTGATGTTCCTATAGTATTTTTCATCACATGTACATCTACCTCTTGTTAAAGTTAAAACTAATTATTTTTAAAAAAACACCAAAAAACCCACTCTATGTCCATCGACTAACAAACGTTTTATTTTGCCTCTTTGATGTCCATCCCCTTCAATCAACTACTAAATAAATAGCTAAAGAAGTTGCTGTACATCAGTTCTTCCACACTAAGGAAAAGATTATTTTAAACGAAGTAACCATTCAAGGCTAGGAGGGATGTAGTGTCCTAGATACGGTTATCACACCAAGTACGGTATTAGTATTTCAAGTCGGTGTTACCCGCCTGTGTGTTATGCAATGTAGGTCAATTAAACAAAGAAGTCTCAGAACACCCGTTCATGGATCTCGCATGTGTTTTTCTTATTGTGCTAGCCCCTTCAACATAACATCATTAACCCCGTAACCCTGAGCCGGGGAGCTCCGTCGGGCTGCTGAGTCACGCTAACTAAAGGTAACAGAATCGGGCGAAAAGTGACGCCATGTACGGTGCTCGCCGATCGCAACTGCATGAGGTCACATATGAAAGCGCGGGACATTTGTCTGTCTGCATTTATGAAAGAGATGATGTGGAAATATTTATTGCCCTCAGCTGAAACCCGGTTCTTGTGGATTTTTATTTCAGAATGGGTTCTTAGGCATGCAAATTATAGAGAAAAGATTACGCTGCAAAAGTTGCAAAAGGTCGGGTAACTTTGTGCCCTGGACTACCCCGAAGAGTGATTTAATTATAGTATGAAGCTGAAATTGAAACTGAAGCCTTCAACATACAGTAATTTTCGGTGATTTTGTAGTTTTGTTAATTAAACGTCCAAAGCTGAATGCCAGAGATCCTGAATTGCCAGGTAATTGTTGAGGAGTGAACTAAGCGTCAGACAGGAAGGAAACACTAGAGTAAAGCCAGAAAAATTAATTCAAGCAAAGAATGGCGCTTTATCGGCAGTCCACCTCCCAATTATTATTCGCCCGTTTAGGTCCCATGAGGCAAGAGT